ATATATATATATATATATATATATATATATACACACACACAATGACATAATAACCTCTTTAAACTTATATTCAATACTTCTTTAGATACAACCCAAAATCCTCTTTTCCCTAACACTAGCAACAGCACACTGCTTGGATAGCCTTTGAGACTGATCAACTATATATTTCACCAAGATCCCTTTCTTTCATGACACCATTAAGGTTATTTCTATCAATTATACTTATAATTCAAACTAAGATAACCCACATACATTATCTTGCATTTATTATAACTGAAACCCATTTGCCACTTATATGCCCAACTCACTAAATGATCTAAACCCTTTTGTAAATCAGCATCATCCTATTCACAACACCTAAGACCTTAATATCATCAGCAAATTTTAGTAATTTATTGACCATTGGTTCATCTGTCATTGATATAAATCAAAAAGATCAAAAGTTTTAATAGTGAACCCTAAAGTACCCCAATTGTAACATTAATACAGTTTGACTGAACTCCATCTGTAATAACCCTTTTCTATCCAATTTGCTAACTTATCCCCCCACACCTATTGAGATAATTTTTTACAAGCTTTATATGTGGCATCTTGTCAAATGCTTTCTGAAAATCCAGATACACAAAATCTACATAAGCAGTAACCTTTCCAAAGAATGTCAAAAGATTTGTAAAGCAAGATATTCCCTTAGTGAAACCATGTTGACTATCCAATAAAATTCTAATCTTTGTTAAATGGCTTTGCAAAACATCTTTTATCAGACTTTCCAAAACTTTTCCAACAACTGTTGTAAGACTAATGGGCCTATAATTACTGGGAAATTTTTTATCCTCTCCCTTGAAAAGAGGAGTTACATTAACTAACTTCCAATCCACTGGTAGCTGCAAACTATTCAAGGGCTTACAAAAAATAATGGCAAGTGACTAACATACCCAATCCTTAACCTCCTTCAAAACCCATGGAGAAATATTATCTGGCTCAGGAGCATTATTGTTCTCTAAACTTCCCAATTGTTTTCTTTTCCAGCTCAGAATTAATGTAGTCATCTTGTTCGACTTTGTTTCCATCTATCAACTGTTCAAGATGCAGAATGCTGCTTAAATATTCATTAATAAAAACTGAAGAAAAAGCAAAATTGAATAACCCAACCATCTCATAATCATAAGATACTAGCCTTCCTTCATCATCCCTCAAGGGTCTTACCTCTATCCTAACATTTTGTTTACCCTTAATGTGTTTAAAGAAATCCTTACTGTTAGAAGAGCAATCACCTTGTGCACACTGCAAAACAGTGCCAAAATGTCAGGTGATGAAATACAAAAAAAAAGTCACCAAAGCCCAAAAAATATGCATGTTTTCAGCATTGCAGTCTATTTCAAGGAATAAATAACTCATTTGGTCAAAGGTTCATCTGTAGCACCGTATGCTGATATGTATAAATCTACTTTCCATTAATTTATTTCCAATCTTTTATTAACATTCAGATATAAATTCCACCTCAAAGCAAAAATGATTTATAAATTCTATCATGTATCACAATTACATGTAAAAAAAAACCTTAAAGGAGCTGCTAACCCAAAACAAAAACAAATGAAAAAAAAGACATTTTTCAAAAAAAAAAACACAAAGGGTCTTAATTTTGATACCTTATCTACATTATATTTAAGATACCACTGGTCATACTGCATTTTCTGAATTGTTGCAAGTTTAAAATTTTAAACTAAATTTCTAAAAATTAGGTAATAATCCTTTACCTGAGCTGATTTTGAATCTGTTTCTTTACAAAGCTCGTCAACACTGTCATTTTTAACAATTTCAGTCAACTCTTTCTCTATTAATTCTGCTAATTCATCATCTCCAAGTTCCAACTCTCCAATACTCTCTTCATCATTCATACTGGTGAGTTTTTTATCTGACTGATTACCACTTGTTTGTTCTACTGTTTCAGTACAAACTGTGTCATTTTTATCTTCAGCTTCAGCATTACTTACAGCTTTGATCCTATCATGGTTTTCATAACCAGATTCATGAGACATCTCATTCATTGCATGTTTTTCTGATGTTTCAACACTTTTTACATCCACACTGCCAGACCTTTCTTTAGATGTCTCTAAGTCTTCCAAAGAAACTATGATGTTACATTTGTCAGCATGAAAATCATTTGAGCTAGGTTTTACTTCTTTGTCTTCAAATTGGTCACCTTCCATGACAAATGGGTTACTTTCTGAAACATTTTTTTCCAAAATATTTCCTAAACATTTTGTTCCCACAGAATATGTTGTTGAGAAAACCAAAGATGTATTACTCAAACTTTTGTTATCAATGTCTGTGGATGCTGACATACTTAATGCTGCCTCTGACACTGAATCACTGTTTTCTACAATCAGCTCTTGACTTTCAGTTTTACAAGTATCCTGTATAGTTTCTTCAATACTTAATCCAGCTTCAACACTAGAATTTGGGTCAACCAAAAGAGATGGTTCTTCACAATGACCTAAGTTTTTATTTTCTTGTTCTCTGTCAATAACCTGAGAATTCAGACTGTCTTCTTTTTCTATCTTCTCCACTCCAGTAACTGAAATTTTTGGAAATAGATCCAACTGAGACAATTCACTCTCTTTGACAATTAGTTCTTCTGTGTTTACTGACTGAGACACAGAAGAATTTTTTTCCACACTATTGTCACACTCAGTAGCCATACTTTCTGTCATTTCTTTATCCATGACTGATTGTGTACTACTGACAGATGGTTTATCATCATCCAGTTTCTTTTTTGTTGTTTGATTTGTCTCCTTTGACTTTGTATCTGCAGAAGCAGGCACAGATGTATCAGTGATAATATTTTTAGTATCTGCAAACCCCAGTTCATCACTCCCAGAAATTATATCACCCAACTCATCACTGTATTCATTTTCAAAAATATCAGCAATTGCTAAGGATAGTTCTTTATCCATCTCTTCAGCAAACATGTCTTCCGTTTCTTTTATATCTGATAGGTCCAAAACATCCATCATTTCTGGAGACACATCAACATTGTCTTGAGAACTTGTGGCTTGGACAGTACTTGTTCCTTTCTTAAGAGCATCTGCCCTTCCTCCCTGTTTTTTTTTATTGTTTCTTCTTCTCCCAACCATTTTCTATTTGGAATCTACAGAAAAGAATGAACAAATGAAAGTTAACTTAATATACAAACAAAAAGGTATAATTTGGTCCTTCAAGGCAGTTGTTGTACAATGATCCTTGAAGAAATTAAAAGTGAAATTAAATACCCCATTTCCTTTTAACAAATTAATTGCTTACCCTCTTTAAATTAATGTAAAGCATTGGCCTCATTCCAATAGCTAACCGCCCTGTTAGAAAAAAAAAGTCTTAACTACAGTGTTGCCTGTCTTGTCCAAATCTTAAACGCATGTCCTTTAATCCTACTGTGTTCAGGACACACAAAAAAACACAGGCAATTAGCTTACACAATCCCTAGATAATCTTCTAAGCTTTAAAAAGTTTATCACAAGGAAAGACAGGTTAAGACATATTAGCCTATTCCCAAAGACAACATCCAAAATCAAATTAATGGTGATTTTTCAGTCTTATTCAACCATATATGTTTTTTTTACAAATTAAATATACATGTAATTTTAATGGTAAAAATCCCCCCCCCCCCATGTACTCACTGATTAATATCAGCCCTTTCTAGATTAACAATTAACCACTAAAACATCAAGACAGGATTTTTAACAGTGAATTGAAATACAAATACTTTAATCATTAACTGGAGAAACTATCTAATGATTTTTTCTAAAATGGCATCTTTCTAAAAATATGGTTCTGTTTCCAAAACAGTAACCCTCATCATTACTTCTCACATGGCAAATCCATTTCATTTGTTTCTTATTCTGACATCAGCTACTACACAATTTTGTCAGTGAAAAAACTAAATATATGCAAGCTGGTTTGTTAAACAATTCAAAAGTGTGAATAGCAGTAACAGTTTGTCTCAAAAAAAAAAAAAACTTTGCCAAAAAACATGTTATAAAAGTTGGTTTTTAATGAGAAGAATTAATATGATTCCTAAGATAAATACACTCATTGCAGTTTTTTTACTTTATATTACAGTAGGATAGAAACCAAGTTTTTTTCCTTCATAACATAACAGTTGTGTGATATAATTATTATGTTATAGTATATATCATTTCAATACTTCAGAGAATACAACAAGTCTATATTCCAAACCTGAAATGTGGTCACTTCATATCTATAATGAATTGCATCTTTGGTACTTCCTTCTTACTTCAAATGAAAAGTTTAAAGCACATATTACAAATCTCAGCTTTTACTTTGACAAAAGCATACATATTTAACCCCAAAGTCATAATCAGATGAAATAATTCATTCTGTATAAGACTCACCACAAGGATGCTACAATGGTCAAGAGGGAGTGGAAGGTAGCAAAGAATATATCCAAACAACAGTAGACAAAATATGTTAAAAATTAAATTCCCTGTTTTAGACTTTTTTGATAATAAATTAGATGTATATAAAGTATTAGTGCATCATCCATGATAAATGACACTTCTAAAGTGCAAGCACAAAGTATCAAAGTGTTTAACTTGTATGGAATATTCTCATTGAGGGTGTAATTATTGTATTGTTAAAGAAGTAAAAAAATTGGAAGAAAGATATGCACACATATAATTTAAGCCCAACAAGGGACCAGGTAGTCTATCTAGGCTTTCCTAGATAAATTTTGAAATAAAAACAAAACACTAAAAGCTAGCCCTTATCATTCAAATATTTATCAAGCCTTCTCTTCGGAACTTCCTTAACTCTTTCAGCACAGGCTCAGTCTCACGGGCCAACCTCATAACCATTTTGTGCTTGTTACAGTTTTCATGCTATAACTTTTAAATTTGTACTCGTATCTTCATGAAATTTTGCAGATTATCAGTAAACATTACAAGGCTTTTGTATGCAAAATATCAGATTATTTTGTTCAGTTTTAAAATTTTTTAACTGATGTTTTTCTCATGCCCCTTTTCTTTTTGAATGTTGACTATCCCACATGCAAAATAATTTTGATTTTAAGATTAAAAATACTTTTATGCATCAGAAAATTTTCAAATTTCACATGTAAAATCTTTATAACTTCCAGATAATCATGAAATGTTTTTTAGAAAAAACTTGATATTTTATCTGTTATTTTCACTACTGCATCTCAGTTCGGGTATGGTTGATTTGACCAACCTCATAATCACCATAAAATAGGAAATAAATATAAGTTATACTTTCATTCTAGAATGACTACAAGTTATAACACAAAACAAATGTTTAGTCTAAATAGCTTAAATCTCATAAAATTATACATTTATATATCTGTATTATTTTTGTTATATTGACCTCTCAGCCATGCCTGGCTAAAATCATGCAGCACAGGTGCACTCATGTTACCATATCCAAGAATAAAAGACTGGCCTCTACAAAGTGACCTATCTTTGCAGTGTTTTAGTGGACTAGTATTTTGTAAAATACAGTCACTTTTCATTTATAATACATTATATATGCATATACATTAAATTGTTTACAAATAAGTTCTTAAACTTATTTTTCTTAAAACATAGAACAGTAAATAATGAAGTATAGCAAACTATTCTCTTCTAGTTATGAACTTTGTACTCCTTTGCTGGTTGCCGTAGGTTGCTAAGCCTTATCAAATTTTGCACATGAAGGATGCAAAATGAATTAATTCATTTTACGTTTTACATATACATTATATAACCAAAAATCATAAGTTACTATATCAATATCATAGAATTCCACTATAAATTATCAAACTTAGTAACTAAGCTGTATTTGGGTCTAAAAAAATATGAAATTTTGAGCTCACTAGTCTTTCCTTACCACTTGTAATTTAGCATGAAAAGAAAGTTTGCCACCCAATACTTCAAAGAGGCTGAAAAATCCACAAGGGGGACATTCTGAACATTTGATTAGTTATTCAAACTTCATAGACAGTAGTGGGTGTACATGAGCATTTCCAAAAATGGAAAGAGGTGGGTGGGGCCACCACTGTATTTGATTCAGTAAATATAGTGATATCTCAGCAAATAGAAATAATAGGATGTTCTTATTTTATATTCTATCTTGTGAATATCCGTAATTTGAGTTCCTAATTCACACAAATTGATATTTGTGTTTTTTTATATTTACTTTTAAATAACAAAATGGAGTAATATAGTATTAAAATTTGAATAATAATCTACAGTTTGATGCCAAAGTTGTTGACATAAATTCATGAAATCGTAGTTCATTAAAATTTTGAATGCAAGTTAACAAATGAGATGACATGGCCTTTCACCCATGATCAGTCTGGAAAGGGTTAATAAAATTTTGAATGTAAGATGCTAAAACTTTGTGTCATGTGCAGTAAAGGATAACTGTGGTGATAGGATCAAAGGCCAGTTATATATATTCTTGAATACGATAACATGAGAGCACATGTGCCACATCATTGCAACTTCTGTAATGTCATCCAGGCATGACTGGAGTGTCAATATAATATATATAAATGCTAATATAAATGTATAATGTTATGAGATTTAAGCTATTTACACTCAACAATCGTGTTTTTATGTTATAATTTGTAGTCATTCTAGAACAAAAAAAGCATAATTTATATTTCTTTTTTTTTTATGATGATTACAAGGTCGGTCAAATTGACAGACCCCATACAGTTAGGGTAGAGAAAATAACAGACAAAATATAATAAATATATATAAATGTATAATGTTATGAGATTTAAACTATTTAGACTAAACATTTGTGTATTTTCGTGTTATAATTTGTAGTCATTCTAGAGTGAAAAAAGCATAATTTATATTTATTTCCTAATTTTTATGGTAGCTACAAGGTCAGTCAAATTGACAGACACCATATAGTTAGGGTAGAGAAAATAACAGACAAAATATAATAAATATATATAAATGTATAATGTTATGAGATTTAAACTATTTAGACTAAACATTTGTGTATTTTCGTGTTATAATTTGTAGTCATTCTAGAGTGAAAAAAGCATAATTTATATTTATTTCCTAATTTTTATGGTAGCTACAAGGTCAGTCAAATTGACAGACCCCATATAGTTAGGGTAGAGAAAATAACACAAAATATAAAGTTTTACTGAAAACAAATGTTTCAAAAATATTTAGGAGGTTTTACAGATTACACAAATAATATTTGAAATTTTTGGGGTGAAGAATATTTTTATCATAACATGAAAATCTCTTCGCACTCGGACTTGTAAAAGACTCAATATTTTCACAAACAAAGCATTAGTAAAAATACTTCATTAAAAATTCTGGTTTTTTGTGTACAAAAGACTTGTAATCTTTACTAAAAGTCAACCAAATTTTGTGAAGATACACATACTGCATTAAAAGTTATAGTATAAATACTTAACATGTACAAATGTGTATATGAACTTGTGTATTTTATACCGAGCCCATCACAAAAGGGTTTAAGAGACTGATGAACTAAAAATCCAAAATAGTTTTCTTTCAGGACACTGTTATTGTTATTATCATCAAACTTAAATTCATAATTCAAATTATGACATCCTACATGTGTTACTTTGAATTTATTATAGTTAAAAGCCATCTGCCATTCATTTGCTCAACTCATCAAATAATCTAAATCCTTTTGTAAAGCAATGGCATCTAACTTGTAGCCAGCAACATCCAAAACCTTAATATCATCACCAAATTTAAATAATTTCTTAACCATTCATTTATGTACATCATTAATGTAAATGAAAACAAGTAAAAGTTTCAACACTGAGCCCTGAAGTACCCTACTTGTTGACAGTAATCCAGTTTGACTGAACTAAAATTTAAAACAACTCTGCTTTATTCAATCAAGCCAGTTTTCTATCCAATGAGACAATCTGTCCTCCAACACCAACAGAGATAATTTTTTTTAACTAGCCCATTATGTGGCAACTTGTCAGATGCTTTCTGAAAATCCAGATACATCAAATCCACATTTGTACCCTCATCTACATAAGTATTAAGCTCCTCAAAAGAATGTCAAAAGATTAGTAAAGCAATATTTTAACCTAGTGAAACTATGCTGACTATCCAACAAAATTTTCAACTT